TGCTCTAAGACCAAGGTGAGAGCTCACGAAGAGACTGCCTCACCCGCTCGGTTGCTCAAGGTTGGTCAAGTATTTTATATACTGTCTTGTCATCTGCATCGAAGAAAAAACAACACATAAATTTTGAACGGTGAGGAAAATTAAGCTGCTGAGTTGAGGTCAGTCGACCGAGCAAGTGAAACCGTTCGGTCTTTGATTGAATGTTTGTGCCACTGCCTTAGTGCCTTGTGACCTATAGTGCCTTGTGACCTATAAGATAATATCAGAATATATGTTAGACCGTTCGGTCTTTGTTGGACCGTTGGATCTTTGATTGGACATTTGAAGTATTCATGAGGATGTGTCATATCTATAGGTGCCTGTTGTATTGAGACCACTGCTCGGGAGACGCTAACAAAATGAGAGTTGAGTTGCCTCTTTTGTTTTGGTATTCAAGTGTATTTTTACACTTGTTTGGTGCTTTGATGTTTTCTCTTATACGGAGCGCTGTTATCCCTGCTATGCAAGAAAAGGGGTTAAAAACTATCACTCTCTGCTCGGCATGACCATGGGATAGGAACCCTTAACATGATGCTTCAATTAAATGCTTATGCGGATGACGCCACTTCAAGAACGTCCAGGGCTGGAATCCTTACGCCGTTTCTTTCAACGCGGAGGAAGTCCCCTTTAGGTTAATGTTTAAGAATCCTGGAATGGAAGGTGTTCCACAAGTGGTCCCATTATTGACAACATTGCCATTCAAAAGCTTTTCACCTGCCGTTATTTTCTCTAATGGGTTCCGACGTTCCATACTCTGTTTTTTCTTCCAACAAGGAACGCGCAATAGGCATCACCGGTAGCATAAGCAGCTTGCTCGTCGCTAAGATATTTTCTATACCAAGATATTTTCTGCTGTAGCTGCAGTGTTTAGCTCAAGAGGATCAAGTCGATCATGTCTCAGACCCTCCCGTGAACGGATTGGTCGCTTTGATAATCGGTTCAGAGCGCGGGTATTGTCGGAGCCGCTCGATCCATAGAGACCGCCCGGGGTATTCAGGAGTTGAACACCTTCACCTCTGCCATCGTGACGCGCTGGAATGCACCGAACGAGTGAGTTGGAAGATCCGAGCGGCGTAATATTTTCTGGAACCCTCCTCACCATAACATCTTTATTCCCTCTTTGCACGAACGACGCGACAGAGGACGCAAAAGCTGTCGGTCTGGCCTTTGCGGCCGCTTACGGAGAGGACGAGGCCGTATTTGTCTACCATGAAATAATGTGGTCAAAACTCTTAAGTTTGAATTGTCTGCCAGCGGGTGAGGGGTGGTTGCCTGTGAACATCTATGTTCTCATGTGCAAGCAGTAAAGTACATGATACTCCGAGAATGAATGCCAGATTTTCATCTTCTCTGTTGTAGCCACCATATTCTGGAAACCAGGTGAATGCTTCGTTATCGTGTCAACCTAGTAGTAAAAAAAAAAAAAATGTCTACTGTTGTTTGGCATCGTGTGAGGAAATTGACGAAACCAGATGCCAAGATGATTGCCGCAGTTCTTCTGTTCTCCAGTGTAGAAAGGAGAAGGTAATTATTTTTTGTATTTTATTTTTTTTTCTTTTGGGTTCCTGTGTCTTCCCGTATATCACCCACGGGTTCCACCTTTACCTTTTCTCCTTGCCGCAAGCACTGCCAAAGGAACTCTTCTGTTGATTGAAGCTAGTGGATCGCTTGGATTTTCGGTACCCAGCGTCGCGCCTCTCGGGCTTTGATTGATTGAAGGACATAAATCCCAACCCCTAATTCATCAAAATCAAAGTTTCTTGAAAAGACCGAAAGAAAGGAAATAATAAAAAATTTAATTTTCTCCTTGCAGGTTTTCCAAGAAAAATGTACGCATAAAAGCTTTTGAATTAAATTATTTAACTAATAATAAAATAAATTTAAAATGCAAAAAGTTTAATGTTTTCAAAGTCATTTGAAATATTCATAATATCAACATGTGATCATCATTATCTGCATCTTTGCACAGCAAGATCTAGTAGACCTTTGAATCCCATTTCTTTAATAATATACGGTGTTCTCCAAAACAATGCAAAAGCATTATATATGTTGGTGGAAATGGTAAGCACACTCGTCATAAACATTCAGGATTGCTATAACAGCAAGGTATAAGGGTTGAAGCTAACCCGCGGAAAAGATCCCCTGTATTTGATTTCTAATATTATATATATTTATAAAAGAGAAGATATTATTATGAAATAACTCAATATTAAATCTATATAAATCAATGAAACCGATTGGGATATATAATATATGTATAAATAATGGGAAGCAGACGTCTCGTTAATCTAAAATCACTTTACTCATAATAAGTCTTGTATGTAGGGTGTGTTATTGAACTTTGCTCCTGGATAAATTAATCTTGAATAATATAACATTGAAAAACTCCACAACAAAAACCAAGGAAAAGAAAACACCGTTCTCGGGTTGTTGTTGAAGTAGGCCGATCCAAAAGAAGCATGCTCAATTATTCATTTCGTAGTAATGTGTAGACCGAGAGTTCGTCTTGGTTTCTTGCGATTTCAGTGGGATGCTGCTCAGCCTCACGGTGGGCGCCAAAATGTTTCGGCAGGATTTAAAACCCTAATCCAAAACATTCAAAGTTGTCTGCTCCCAATGTCCAATTGTGCTGTCTTCTCTCTTCTTCTTGTCCGAGCGGCGGGGGAGGGTGCCTGCAAAAGACACTCCGACGCTCAAGTAAGTAACTGTGCGTAATAATCTTGTAATCAAGATTTAGTTATCTGAGTTCTGAGTTTCAGTTCAAGTTAAAGTTACCTGTCTCCTTTGCCAGACAAATACTTATAAATTATAATGAGCTTACCATTAGGTCTGACTCATTAGAGGTATCATCGGTCGAGCTAATTTTACCGATCGGTTCATTGACCTGCGAGGTATCATCGGTCGAGCTGATTTTACTGATCGGTTCATTGACCTGAGAGGTACCATTGGTCGGACGACTCTTCTGCACTTTTACAGTTCGGTCGGCTATGACCGAACCGAACCAAATTGTGAAGGTGTGGTTCTCTACTCTACACACTAAAATAATAATAATTATTATTATATTACAAAAATAATAATTATTATTACATTTTATAAAATAATCAATCCTATCAAAATAAAAGATCGAAGGAATTTAATGAGTAAGCCTTCAAATGTATCCCCATCGAGTTATAAGCTAAATTCAACAGCTTGACCAACTTCTCTCATTGATGAAGCCACGAGAAGCACGCTATCATGTATTTTTACAAATTTTGTTTGCTTTTGTCTAATGGGTCAAAAACGGTTTCATCAATAAATTTCAATTTGAATGGATTTGAGGAAAGAAAGTAAATGTCCACAAGTATACAATAAAATGTCATTATGAGCCTATACATTATATGTAAGATTAAATATTAATAAATACTTTAATAACGATTTGATAAAGATGAAATAATATATTTAAAAAGTATAAATGTTGTTAAGATAAATTTTAATTACGATATTATATTAAAAATTAGATTTTAAATTTAACTTAACTTATTTATAAAATATGATTTTGTATTTCATTATATATGTTATATTTAAGAAAAATGTTTTTTTAACGATCTTTTTAGAACCGCTATGTGGTAACTCGGATCTATTCAACTTTTAACAACCATCTAAATATAATTGATTAATAATAGTTACGTGACAGAATGCACTTCTTACAAACAGAGAACTGTAAATTAGTTACTCAATAAGTCATCACGTTCTTCACCAACACTTGGACCGGGGACCGTGATTTTGGACGGAAACAAAGTTTCGGTTTGCGTCCAATCCCGCTACCTAACAGTTTAAGACCGACAACTTAAAATATTTACGATGAATTTAACGTTTTTTTAGATTTTAAAAAAGTTAAAATCAATGTTCATTTCAAAAAGTTGTTTGGTTTAGAAAAAAATTGTTCGTTTTAACTGAACTTCTTTTTTCACTTGATTTACAGATCCTAAAAATAAATATGGATTTAAAAATGAAATTTAATTGATTGACTTTATGTAAATATCGTTTCACGGCAACCACCACGTACAGTAGTTAAAGAAACCCGAGGAAGTCTCCACCAAAATAAATGATAACAAATGGTTTCTAAAATCGTGTAAAACAAGGAAGGAAATACTAGCTAACTAGCAGTGGCAGCCATTCATTATTTAACATTACCGAGATATTAGTAATTTAGGGTTCTTTGCTTATAGTGATCATAAATAAAATATAACTCTAAGGCTCAGTTTGGATGTCACGAATTAGTATAAACATTTTAAGAAATATATCCTCGTATAATAAAATAAAACAAAATTATTTCTCAGTTTTTCAATTTTTTATATAATTTAATTATTCCTTGTTATATTATTGTATTACTATAAAAAGATTCCCAATCACGTGTAACATGAAAAAACGTTTTAGGAGATATAGTTTCCATGACGTGTGAACGCGGGTATTTCACACGTTAGGAAGAAAAGAAAAAAACGTAGACGAAAGCAAACCGCTATCTCTATATAATGTGGTGTATCGGATCCAATAACACTTAAAACAAAAGAGCGTTTGATTAGCTTTCGTACTAAGATGGAAGGCGTAGAACACAGAACGGTGGAAGTGAATGGCATAAAAATGCATGTAGCAGAGAAAGGAGAGGGTCCTGTGGTGTTATTCCTCCATGGCTTCCCCGAGCTCTGGTACTCCTGGCGCCACCAGATTCTCTCTCTCAGCTCCCGAGGCTACCGCGCTGTTGCACCGGATTTACGTGGCTACGGTGATACAGAGGCACCGGATTCAATCAGCAGCTACACCGGCTTTCAGATAGTGGGTGATCTGATTGCGCTTATAGACCTTCTGGGTGTCGACCAAGTCTTCCTTGTGGCTCATGACTGGGGTGCCATCATAGGTTGGTATCTCTGCATGTTTCGCCCCGACAGAGTCAAGGCCTATGTCTGCCTCAGTGTTCCTCTTCTTCACAGAGACCCCAACATCAGAACCGTCGATGCCATGCGTGCCATGTACGGAGACGACTACTACGTCTGCAGATTTCAGGTATATACTCATTCTTGTTTTTCCCAACACTGTTTTTCATTTTACTTTTATGCTCTTTTTCTTTTATGTGAAGTGAAAGGAGAATTCAGTGGAGTAATGTTAGATCTGACGGTAATTATTGTATTGAAAACTTGTGACAGAAACCAGGCGAAATGGAAGCTCAGATGGCTGAAGTTGGGACTGAGTATGTGTTGAAAAACATTCTGACAAGTCGAAAACCTGGTCCTCCGATCCTTCCCAAGGGAGAGTATGGAACCGGGTTCAATCCGGATATGCCGAATTCCTTACCCTCTTGGCTCACGGACGATGATCTTGCCTATTACGTATCCAAATTTGAGAAAACAGGCTTCACAGGACCCTTGAACTATTACAGAAATTTGAACTTGTAATTAATCTCTGCTTTCCTTTTCGCTGAAAATTTATCAGAAAGACATGTATTTAATTAACTGTGTTGTTGCTTACAGAAATTGGGAGCTGACAGCACCATGGAGTGGAGGAAAAATCCAAGTGCCGGTAAAGTTCATCACAGGAGAGTTGGAAATGGTGTACACCTCTCTGAACATGAAGGAGTATATCCACGGTGGAGGTTTCAAACAAGATGTGCCAAATTTAGAAGAAGTGATTGTGCAGAAAGATGTAGCTCACTTCAATAATCAAGAAGCAGCTGAGGAAATCAATAATCACATTTATGATTTTATCAAGAAGTTTTGATCACCGAACGAATAGAATAATGATATATCGAACACAGTCGAAAGGTGGTAGGTGGCGAAGAATCTGAATTGTTACCGATGGGTTTATCTTATCTTTTTATGGATAACATCGTCATTTTATCAACCGTGTGCTTTCAAACTCCTGGAAAATAAGTTTTCAATCTTTTCGTCTAATAATAAATACATTTTCAAACTCGTCACCTGATTACATAAGTTTTCAATCGAGTCGCTTAAGTTAATATAATCTTACCTAAAAATGACATCACGTGTCATATGATGATTTAGTTTGTAATTTATTCTCATAAATAAATTTATCTGAAAAATAGTTTTGGAATGCATTTTTTTCTTCATGTAATGTTGCAGAAATTCGAGTGAGAAAAAAAGTAATGTATTTACTATTTTTAGTTTCTATAAACTATTAATATGTTTCTTAGTTTAAAGGATATTCTAACATGTGCGTGGGAAATTTTAGGAAGTGTGTTTATTCAAGTCAACTCATCTCGTATATTTGTACCATGGCAAAAAAAATCCGCAATTACAGAAATTTGCGAATAAAATCTATTATATGCGGATAACGAATAGCGGATAAAATCTATTATATGCGGATAATGAATAGTGGATATCATGATGCTCGTGGATATAATGATGCTCGTGGATATCATGATGCTCGTGGATATGATGCTCGTAAATACCATGATGTTCGTGGATATCATATAATGCGTGGATATCATGATGCTCGTGGATATCATGATACTTGGGTACTATAATATCCGTTTCTAAACAGATTGTGCATAGGCATTATATTATCCAATATCTGTGAATATTATGATACCTATGGATAGTATAATACTCGTGAATATTATGATATCCGTGAATATTATAATATCGATTATGTGAGTATTCTACGGATATGTGTGATCCCGTAAAAAATAATAATAATTCAACTTATATTTTTTTAAATTAAAATAAAATTAATTCATATTTTATTAGATTAAATTAATTAACATTAATTTTATCTTTTATTTAATTTATATTATATAATATTATATTTTTTATAATTTTATTTTAAAATATATATATATATATATATATATAAATATATTTTTTTATATTTTTTCAACTATTTTTTTTATTTTAAAATATTTGTAAGTATTTTTCAAGCTGATACTCAAACATATAGTAAGCGAATTGCGAATCATATTTTTATTTTATAGATTGAGTTGCGCATATACAATATTTATATCTAATCCGATCCGTTATCATTTATAACAGAGATAAGGAAGAATAAAATGTATTTATTTGTTGGTCAACCTCCTTAATTAATTAAACCTCCTTAATTAATTAACTCTAAATGTTAATATAATTTTAACACAATAACTTCATTTGCTTAGAAAAAATAAACAACAAGTGGGGAAGTGGGCATGTGTCATGTCAAAATGTATAGTTATAAAAAAATTATGAGTTTGATGACGAGCAACTAACAAATCTCTAACTTGATTAATGAACAGGAAGCTATAATGTGGAATTAACTGATTGCGGGTGTCATTATCAGAAATTTCAAGTAATTTGATTTCTATGCTCTCAAATTTCTTTCTTTTACTATTTAACTACATCTATGAACTTGAAACCATTTATATAACTTATGGAGTTCAATTTCTTCCTTAAATAAAAATTATTAATTTCTTACAGTAAAAAATATTGTATATTATTTGATAACAATAAAAATTCATCGATAATTTGAATTTATTAACTACATCTTTTGTTTGGGTTTGTCTAATGGGTCAAAAACAGTTTCATCATAAATTGCAATTTGAATGGATTTGATGAAAGAAAGAAAGTAAACGTCCACAAGTTTATTAAAATGTCATTATGAGCCATGCAAATCTTCATAATGTAAGTTTCTGTCATCACAAAATCATTACCATCTAAATATAATTTATTAATAATAGTTACGTGACAGAATGCACTTCTTACAAACAGAGAACTGGAAATTAGTTACTCAATAATTCATCATCCTCTACACCAACACATGGAGCGGGGACCGTGATTTTGGACTTAAAACACAATTTAAGACCGACAACTTAAAAAACCACCCCGCGAGTAGGATGTCATACCTTTATTACATTCATGATGACAACTTAAAAATCCCTACCCACCCAAACAATTTAAATACATTTTTAATAACTGGATTTCAATTTCAAATTTATATTTTTTAATTTTAGTATAATCCAGTTACGCTGAATTTAAAGTTTTTTAGATTTTAAAAAGATTAAAATCAATGTTCATTTCAAACAGTTGTTTGGTTTAGAAAAAAATTTGTTTAACTCAACATTTTTTTCACTTGATTTACATATTTTAAAATAAATATGGATTAAAAAATGAAACTTATTTGATTGAATTTATGCAAATATCGTTTCAGGGAAACCACCACGTACAGTAGTTAAAGAAACCCAATAAATGAATTGATAACAATTGGTTTCTAGTATAAAACAAGAGAAAAAATATAACTATTAATAAAAAAAATAGAAACAATTATTATTATGATCGATAAAAAGAACTTATATATAATAAATTGATGGATGATATTTTCGTAATAAAAACAATATTTATTATGATGAGTAGAAGGATATTTGTCATAATAAATAAAAAATTTATTATGTAAGATATACTAGATTTATTATAAAGTTTAACTCAGTGAGAAAATTAAAATTATGTTTAAAACTTGTTATAACATGTTTAAAAAAACTTGTTATAGTGAGACTTTATCTCACACTTAGTTCAACCTTAGTCATATATTAATTCTTAATTTGTGTTTTGTTTAAGTATCATTGCACTCAATTCTTTTTTGTTTCTCCTCACACACAATTCCTCATTTCTCTTTCTTGTCGTTGACACGTTGTTGCCTCTTGAGCTTATATGTTTCTGTTCTGTTTTTGGGCTTGAGCTTATATGTTTCTACGTTTTTCTTAAGCTTGAGGCTATGTGTGCTCAAATTGTATTTTGCTTGAAACGAATTCTATGCTATATACTGTTTATAATATTGTTTAGCATTAGCATTGATGTATTTCTGTTTTTCAGAACAGTGGTGTTTTAGTTAGAATGTCTACTTAACACATGTGTATTGGATTTGTACAATCTTGTTTCCATAGATATATTAATTGATTTTCAAAGAACTAAGAACATAATACTGCAGTTGTTAGAATAAGAGATTCTGTTTATTTTTAACAAAAACTACACTTGATGGTGCAACAAGCAAGTGTACCCAAAGTTTCTGTGTCACCTTTAGAACTGGAAGATGCTGAAGAACCTCCATTGAACTTGTACAAGCGTAAAGAGCCCTATACAACAACTATTGTGTCTGTTGAGAGGCTTATGGGACCGAAATCTCCTGGGGAAACTTGTCACATTGTGATTGATCATGGTGGAAGTGTTCCCTAATGTTATGGTGTTATTCCTCCAGTAAGTGACTTATTACTGATTGTTATTCTAGGCCGATGATTCATGCCTTCATATTTTTTGGACAAAGATCTTGATGTAGGAAAGGTTTTTTTTTTTTAAATATTTACTATGTTTAATTATGAGTGCTTTTCCTATAGGATTTTGGTGATTAGTCATCATCAAGCTGATTCAATCTCGCCTCTCCACCTTCCATCTCAAAACTAACGATGGCTTTTAGGTCTTGTTCACTTGAGTGGATTTGAGGAAGAGTAATTGAAAGGATTTGAGAGGATTTGAAAATAATTTTTTTTTGTTGATTATTTGAGTGAATTTGGAGGTAAATGAGATTGGATTTGGAAGTAAATTTTTTTAATCTATCACGTCAATCAAATCTTAGACTAATTCTCACAAACTTTACTTCCAAATTCATTCTCACTTACCTCCAAATTAACTCAAATAAACAACAAAAAAATTTATTTTCAAATCCTCTCAAATCTCCTCAATTACGCTCCCTCAAATCCACTCAAGTGAACAAGGCCTTAGGCTTATTAATTCAAGCATGTATAAAGCGTTATTTCTAATTTTTTTTTGTCGGAATTAGGAGTTAATGTAATTAAAATTCTAAATTAATTTCCCAACTTGTAAATACCACGTAAAAATCCAAAGAAACTCGGGTATTCGAATATTAAAAAAAAAACTAACTAAATATTATAATATTATTTAATTTTAGGTTTAATATTTTCAAGGTTCTTAATTATGCAGAATCGTCTCAAATAGATCCTTTTATTATTCGTCTGAATTATGTCCCTATTCGTGTAAAATTGATTCAACTGCACCGTTACCGNGATTTGAGAGGATTTGAAAATAATTTTTTTTTGTTGATTATTTGAGTGAATTTGGAGGTAAATGAGATTGGATTTGGAAGTAAATTTTTTTAATCTATCACGTCAATCAAATCTTAGACTAATTCTCACAAACTTTACTTCCAAATTCATTCTCACTTACCTCCAAATTAACTCAAATAAACAACAAAAAAATTTATTTTCAAATCCTCTCAAATCTCCTCAATTACGCTCCCTCAAATCCACTCAAGTGAACAAGGCCTTAGGCTTATTAATTCAAGCATGTATAAAGCGTTATTTCTAATTTTTTTTTGTCGGAATTAGGAGTTAATGTAATTAAAATTCTAAATTAATTTCCCAACTTGTAAATACCACGTAAAAATCCAAAGAAACTCGGGTATTCGAATATTAAAAAAAAAACTAACTAAATATTATAATATTATTTAATTTTAGGTTTAATATTTTCAAGGTTCTTAATTATGCAGAATCGTCTCAAATAGATCCTTTTATTATTCGTCTGAATTATGTCCCTATTCGTGTAAAATTGATTCAACTGCACCGTTACCGTCAATTTAAAACAAACAAACGGTGTTAAGATTGCAGTGAGGTGACATGCTGACTTTACAAATGTGAAGTGTGTGGTAGAGTTGGGTGGCATGTTGACTTACACCGCCACCCAAATTGCAAAGTCGCTGCAAGCTGCCGCAAAGCACCGCTGCGATTCGCCGTAGAGCACTGTTGCGATG